TCTGCAGGCTGACACTCTATCCACTGACCCACACCGGCCAGGGCAAAAGAAAAAAAAGATCTTGAAAATACAATATTCAGTGCAGAAAGCAAGTTGAAGAGTAATTGTTAACACTGCAGAATGATTAGTAAAGAATGTCGTTAGTGTAAATTAGAAACAATGTTTTAGAAAAACAAGAGGATGCGTTGCTATGGACACATATACACAGAAGGTAAACATTACAATAAAACCGTGGTTGGGACAATGGCTCGGGGATAATGGTGGCTGCAGGGGAGAGGGAGAGGAGACAGATGTGGGTGGAGAAGGCGGCTTCCAACCTCTGGGTAATGCTTTGTTCAAAAGCCATGTGCTTTGAAGCGAAGGAACAAAAGTCATTCTTGTCATGGGGAGCAGAAAGAAATTCTTCCAAACTCGGTACGTGGTTGGAGGTCCCGGTTCGGGAATCCACTGCGGAGTAGGGATCGCACCCTAAATGAAGCCCACTTTTCTGAGCTCATTTATCGAAGCTGGAGGTCTGTGTCATCTCGATGACACTCCGTGGGACTTCAGAGAGCTGGTGGCACAACACCCTGGCTCGGGAATTCTCGGGATGTCGCTGAGAGCCAGAGGTGACAGGAGGGCAAAGTGGGATGGACAGGGTATGTATAGATGCATCGTCTGAGAAAGGAATTTATGAAATGTAGGGGAATAATGCATGAAACAGAAATGTATGTGAGCTCGGCCGGGATGGTTCAGTGGTTGAGCGTCAACCTATGAACCAGGAGGTCACGGTTCAATTCCAGGTCAGGGCACACTGCCTGGGTTATGGGCTCAATCTGCAGTAGGGGGCGTGCAGGAGGCAGCGAGGTTCAACTCCCAGTCAGGGCACATTGCCTGGGTTGTGGGCTCAATCTGCAGTAGGGGGCGTGCAGGAGGCAGCTGATCAACGATTCTCTCTCATCATTGATGTTTCTCTCTCTCTCCCTCTCCCTTCCTCAAAAAATAATGTGTGACATGTTCTTTTAAAGGAGGGAGGCCCGGGAACATATATACATATACATACATGTATGTATTTAAAAATAATAATAACGTGTGACATGTTCTTTTAAAGGAGGGAGGCCCGGGAACAGTAGGTGTTCTCCGTGGACACTCCTTGGTGTCTGCCTCCCCAAACAACACGAGACTGGGCAAGGCTCTGAGGACCCGCAGGGACTGTGTGGCCAGGGCTGCTGGAAGGTAAAAATTCTCACTGTGTCTGAAGGCCAGGCTGAGCCGGGTGGGAATGCACGGCGCCTCCTGCCCTCCCCGCAGCCTCCTGCAACTGTCCTAGAGTGTCAGCCTGCAGGGCAGCCCTCCATGCTGAGCCCTGGGACTCAAGACGCTCCCAAGTGATAAATCAATTATGAAACGGAAACCTCGATGGCAGCCTGTCTGCTTAATTGTTTGACAAGTTAATCCCCAAGCAACGGGCTCCATTCTCCCTCTAATAGTGAGGACATAGCTGTTGTGGGTCCCCGAGGTCTGGGCGGTGCAGCATCAGTGAGGCCCCTGGGATCCCAGGGAGAAACAGTGTTAAGGGGCCAGAGCCTCGACACAGAGTGGAGAGGTTTGCTCCCGCTCCTGCCCGGAAGTGGGTTTGTTACTAATTATGTGGTTGCTAATTAAAATGTGAACTTGTCTGTTTATTAACGTGTCTTTTTTTTTAAATTTCTCTTCCCTATTCTTTTCTATCTAAGAACAGCCTGTGGCCCTAGCTGGTGTGGCTCAGTGGATACAGCATCGGCCTGCGGACTGAAGGTTCCTGGGTTTGATTCCCAGTCAGGGCACGTGCACAGGTTGCGGGCTCGATCTCCAGTGTGATGCGTGCAGGAGGCAGCTGATCAGTGATTCTCTCTCATCATTGATGTTTCTCTCTCTCTCACCCTCTCCCTTCCTCTCTGAAATCAATACAAATATATTTTTAAAAAGGTAAGAAGAGCCTGTGATTCAAACAGCCAGTGCTTCCAGAGTATGAAAAGCCCTAACGGTGGTTCCAGTCTCAGCCTCGCCGCCCCCAGGAGACGGTGCAGTGACAGCTGACACAATAGTGAGACTCGGCCTTCTCGCGGGAGGCAGGGAAGTGCGATGGGCTTGTCTGTCCGTCTGTCTGTCTGCATGACGTGGCTCCTGTTGTCCCAGCCTTGTGATCATGTCTCGGTGCCTTGAGAAATTCCAGGTGACAGCGTAGCGCTGAGAAGCTGGGGTGCGCCCAGTGCGGGCCAAGGACCCCCCTGCACCAGCCCCGGCTGGAGACGCAGACAACTAGATTCCCACGGGACCTCCTGCGTGAGTGGGGATCATTAGGGAGGGAAGTCGGCAGCTTTTAATGAGCTCCCCGGAGAGATTAAGACCCAGTCGGATGAGGCTGGGTGGGAATTCATTGCTGGTGGCTGGACGGAACGATTCCCAAGCACACTCCCCAGCGAGGGCCATACCTCATTCTCACTCACTTCACTATTACTGTGTCCCTTCTCCCACCCTGCCTGGGCCTGGGCACCAGCTGTTTTCTCTGCCTTGAGGGCTCTTCTCCACGTGACCAAGTGTGGTCCCCAAACTTCATTCAGGTCTTTATTTTGTTTTTTTGTTTCTTATCAATCCTCACCCAAGGATATTTTTCCCATTGATTTTTAGAGAGAGTGAAAGGGAGTGGGGGAGAGAGAGAGAAACATTGATGTGAGAAAGACATAGTGATTAGTTGCCTCTCACACGCTCCCCAGTTGGAACGGGGATCAAGCCTGAAACTGAGGAGTGCCTTTGACCGGAATGGAACCCGCGACCCTTTAGTCCACCGGCCGACGCTCTAATCACTAAGCAAAACCTACTAAGGCTCAGGTCTTTCTTTCTCCTCAGAATCTTTCTTGGTCTCCCTGTCTATCACAACACTCCTACTGAAGGAAAGGGTGGAATTTAACAAGTTTCCTGGTATCATGTATTACTATCTAAAATAGAATTGCATCTTTGTTTGTCATCTATCTTCCCTCTGAGCGGGAAGCTCCCAAGAGGCAGGGATTCTCACCATCTGTGCTCAGGGCTGCATCTGAGGTGCGTAGAACAGTGCCTGAGCCACAGTAAGCACTCAAGCAGCAGCCGTGAAGGGAGTGAATGGCACAGTAAGACTTGCCTTTAGGCATCAATGCTAATATCATCTACATTGGCAAAATCACAGTGCCAAACTCCATTGTGGCACCTCATAGCTTAGAATGTAATAGCCTGTGGGAAACAGGACATGAAAATCTACAAAGAACAAAACTGAAAAGGCTACATTGTCAAAATATGCAGGATTCCCCTAACGCGATGCTTACAGGAAAGTGTACAGCCCTAGATACTTACACTGAAAAGGAAGACTGGCCTCCAATCGATAAGCTAAGCTTTCACATTACAAAACCGGAGAAAGAAGAGACAATTAAACCCAAGCAAGCAGAAAGGAGAAAGTCATAAAGGCAAAAGCAGAAAGAAATGAAATCGAAAACATAAGAACAACAAAGAATATAAATGAAGCCAAAAGCTGGTTTCTTTGAAAGATCAATGAAACGGAGAAAATTCTAGCAAGATTTACAAAGAAAAAAAAAAGATAAAAATTACCACTGAATTTGAAAGGAAAGAGCAGACATCGCTACAACGCTGCAGACAGTAAAAGGAAATCATAACCTATAATCAACTGCATGCGCATAAATTTGACAACTAAGACAAAATGGGCCGATTCCTCAAAAGGGATAAAATACCAAAACTCACCCGAGATGAAATAGATAACGTGAATATTTATATGACTCTTAAACAACTTGAATCTGTTGTTAAAAGCCTTCCAAGAAAGAAATCTCCAGGCTCGGATAGATACTGGAAAATTCTACCAAACATGTAAAGACAACAGGATACCATGTCTACACCATCTATTCCATAAAATAGAGAGAACATTGTAGGTCTCAGTTTGTAAGGCAAGTGTTACTGTGATACCAAAAACAAAGGCAGGGCCAGAAATGAAATATGCGAATCAATACCCCTCATGCGGAAAAACCCCACAAAACCTGTCAATAAAATACAAGCAAATCAATAGATCAACATATACAAACAATGTATCACAAACAAGTAGTGTTTATGCCAGGAATGCAAGGCTAGATCAATATTCTGAAACCTATGAATGTAATTCACTATTTACAGTGTAAAGAAGATGAACCACAAGGTCATATCAATGGATGTAGAAAAAGCAAAAAAAAATTGTTCATCAAACATAAGGTCACTACATAATACTAAAGCGATCGATCCAACAAGAGGATATAACCCTTGTAAATACATATGCACCCACTATAGAAGCGCCTACATGAAAAACAACAATAAAAAACTCTTGGCAGACTTTAAGGGAGAGATCGGCAGCAACAGTCCTAAGTAGGTGACTCTGATACCCCACTGACTTCAATGGATAGAGCTTCCAGACAAAAAAATCAACGAGGAAGCAATGGCCTTAACCGACCCATGGGATCAGATGAATTTAATTGATATTTACAAAACATTTCATCCAAAAGCAGCAAAATATACATTCTTTTCAGGTGCCCCTAGACCAGTCTCAGAGCGAGACTGCATTAGGACACAAAATAAGAATACTATGTCTGAACCACCTATCCCAGAAAACAAAGGAGGAGACAAAAACCCTACACAGACTAGGAGTGGAAGGCAGCTTCTGCAAGCCAAGAAAAGCATCCACACAAAACCTACACCCATCATCGTACTTGTTGGTGAAAGGCTGGGTGCTCCCCCGCCCCCCCCGCGCCGGCCATTGGGACTGAGAAGAAGCAAATTCCCAATCCTGCTGGTCTCGGGCTCCCTCCTGGCAACTCTGGACAGTTCGTGACTCTGTCCAGGTCTTGGGCCCTGGCCTGGCACCTGGATCAGGGACTCGGGCCACCTGGGCAAAGGCTGAACTTGGGGCTCTGCTCAGCTTCCCACCCCCTTTCTACATCAGTCCCTCAGGTCCACCTTATTGAACTTACCCTCTATCACTCAATCCATTTCCAGGCCAGTGGTCATCAGCCCTGTGGAACAGAATATTAAAATCACTCAGGTCATTTTAAACAACACCAACGCCTTGGGGTCCTATCTCCTGGATTGACTCCCCAGCATCTGTATTTTTTAAAAAGACATTTTTATTGATTTCAGAGAGAGGAAGGGAGAGGGAGAGAGAGAGAAACATCAGTGATGAGAGAGAATCATTCATCCACCAGCTGCCTCCCGCACCCCCCCGACTGGAGATCGAGCCCGAAACCTGGACATGTGCCCTGACCGGGAATCGAGCGGAGACCTCCTGGTTCCTAGGTGGATGCTCCACCACTGAGCCACGCCGGCCAGGCTGAACGAGGCTTTTTGAAGGAGCCTTCTGGAAGGCTGTCGTCTCCCTTTAGTGGGGATAATGGGATTAGCCTGTCTGTGTCTTAATAACAAGTTCAATGTATAGGGGGAAAAAATCGGAAGCCACTTAAAAGCTGCTGTTTGGCACCGATATATTATTTCGGGAATGAATAATCAGGAAAGATATTATTCCGGGTGCCGTCACCAGGCAGCGATGTGAATAAAATGCATTCGATGGAAAATTGTATTTCGAGTAAATATATGCACTGGAAGGAAGGGATCACCACCCATTACTATGTATCCATTCCCAGCCGAGTGACAGGCTGGGGGCAGGGCCTGGGTTTGAAGGGCAGGCGGTGCTTGGGCAGGGGGAGGAAACTGGTTTGGATCTGGGTGGGGCTCATGGTTCAAAGGTGAACAGGCATCCCTCCCGCGCCTCCTTCATGGACTTACCTTTACCCACGCCTGCCGATAATGGCCGACGCCTAAGCGGGCCCTCTTCCCTCTCCTGCCGTCGCATCTTCAAGCACCCTTTTACCAGGAAAGGAAAGGGAAGCCTGGGTCAGTCTTGCTAAGGTAACAGCCTGGCGTCATGTCTGACTGTTTTCGGTGCGGGACAGGAGTGATGTGGAGCTTGTCTCTGTGAAAGGGGCTGCCCACGCCTGAGATGCGCAGGGTTACTCCCATAGGGGTGCAGACCCATCAGCCACGGTGGCTTCCCCCTTCTCAAGTGAGACATCCCCCTTTGCTCATTTGAGGGAGATTCAGAGGACGCCAGAGACACAGGGACTCGGAAGATATGGGCCCCAGGGGTGCGCTTCTCCACCAATTTGGAGCAATTTTTTAAAAACATTTTTATTGATTTCAAAGAAGAAGGGAGAAGAAGCAAGAGAGAATTATTGATGGGCTGCCTCCTGCATGCCCCCTACTGGGGATCGAGCCCACAACCCGGGCATGTGCCCTGACCAGGAATCGAACTGGTGGCCTCTTGGTTCATAGGTAGACACTCAACCTCTGAATTATACCGGCCGGGCTTATTTATGTTTTTAAATACAACACAACACAACCTGTCAGGAGGTTCCCGTTACATTTAGAAAGAAATCTCCATTCCTGACCAGGACAGACCAAACCCCTTACTGTCTTCTCTGCCCAGCACACCAACCTCACTTTCCATCATGACCTTCCTCACTCACGTTGCTATCAACACAAGGACCTTTTCTCCTGGTCCTCCAAAAATTAGGAGCTACGTATTCCTGGGACCTCAGGCCTTTGGGTTTCCCACCCCCTCTTCTAGAATGTGCTTCCCCTGGGTCTTCACATCCCTGACCTCAGAATCTCCTCAGCCCGGCCAATATGCCTCAGCAGTTGAGCATCGACCCAGGAACCAGGAGATCATGGCTCGATTCCCGGTCAGGACACATGCCCGGGTTACAGGCTGGATCCCCTGTTGGAGGCATACAGGAGGCAGTCAATCCATGATTCTCTCTCATCATTGCTATTTCTCTCTCTCTCCCTCTCCCGTCCTCTCTCTCTCTCAAAATCAATAAAAACATGCTTTTTAAAAAAGAGGCCCTCCCTGATCAGCTGTTCTCGAGCGGCCCTCCGAGCACCCCCTCACCTTACACCCATGCTTGATTTCCCTGGGCCCGAACTGTTTTTTAAAAATACCCTATGCATGTTGTAGCGGTCTCCTCATTTGTTATGTCCCCAGTGGCTACCACAGAGCCTGGCATTCAGTAAATATTGACAGAATGAATGATTGAAAAAGGCTTTTTATTCCCTAACTGGGCCCCCCTGTCTTTTTCAGCATGCACTGCATTTTTCATGGTAGATGGGAATCAATTTTCTTAGTGTGTGATACAGAGCCCTGCCGATGTGACGGCATTTTTGAAGATTCCTATGGTTGTTAAAAGCCTCCATCATACTGTGGAGTGTGGATGAGGGTGAATGAAAATGTTCATTTGCTGCTGGTGTGTAACTTGGGAGAATCTGAAGCTCTTTGGGAATTATTGGGTAATATTTATCAGAAGCTTAAAAAAAATTAGCAGAGCCCTGGCAGGTGTACTCAGCGGTTAGAGCCTCGGCCCGAGCAACGAAGGGTCTCGGGTTGGATTCCCCATCAAGGGCACGTACCTGGGTTGCAGGTCGTTCCCCACCCCAGTCAGGGCTCCAGTGGGAGGCAACCAATCAATGTGTCTCATATCGATGTTTCTCTCTCTCTCTTTCTCCCTCCCTCCCTTCCACTCTCTCTAAAACTCAAAGGAAAAATATCCTCGGGTGAGGATGAAGAATAAAATAAAAAGCAAACATTTTGACCAGTATATCCACTGTTAAGATTTTTATCCTGAGGGGACATGAAATTTGAATATGTACTTACAAAACAAAATAAGAAAATCCTGAGAATAATTTAAATATACAACTGGAATCTGGCTTAATAAGCTTTCTAGAAAGTTGACTAGCCTGCAATCATGAAAATCATGTTTTAAAAGATTATTTAATGTCATGAATAGTTGATCTTTTAGGTTGTAAAAAGATGTTTACAATGTGATGATATTTTCATTGGAAAAAAAAATATCTCTATGGTATTTGAATATATAAAATCATGCATGATGAAAAGGTTGAACGTGCATATGATAAATGTAAGCAGTGGGTGGAAGAATTATGAATGATTGTTTTTTCAAAAGCTTCTACAATGAATTACGTGTTTCAATTTATTAAAATAACAATTTCACCCAGCCAGTGTAGCTCAGTGGTTGAGCATCGACCCAAGAACCAAGAGGTCAGGATTCGATTCATGGTCAGGACACGTGCCCGGGCTGCAGGCTCAATCCCCAGTGAGGGGCGTGCAGGAGGCAGCCAATCAAAGATTTTCTCTCATCACTGATGTTTTTTTCTCTCTCCCTCTCACTTCCTCTCTGAAATCAATAAAAAAATATTTTAAAAAATAAGATCTGTGATTTGCTGCAGAACCGTCATGTCCTAATGGTGCAAGAGTGTGTTTCATCCATCCATTTACTCAATGAAAAAAGAAGCCCTCCACTTTCTCAGGACGGGGAATCTGGACGAGGCGACTGTCCATGCTGCTCAGGCACGGGTCACATTCAAACACGTGAGCAAGTTTCAAACACTAGAACCGCAGTGCGAGGAGGAGCATTGGGAGAGGGGCTGGAGTGGGAGTGAGCCTCCAGGCACGGGAGCAGCATGGGTGTTGGGAGTCCTGGAGTGTGAGGAGAGGGCTCGTGCCCTGCAGGACTGACCTCTGGATCCCAGCGGCGGGGCCAAGGCAGAGCCCACAATGGACCAGTGTTGCGAGCCCACAATGCATGGCCTGCAATGCCCGCAGCAAGGCAGCCACGGTGTAAAGGCGAGGTTACCGCTGGCCCCGCGGGGCCCCTTCTGTGGCTGGCCGCTGTGAGCCTCGGGGTTTGTGGATGTTGGGGGAGGAGGTCAGCGACCCCGAGAGCTTGTGACATTCCCATAAAAAAATTCCTGGCGTTAATGACGGGTGACCATTTTAACATGTAAAAGTTCAATGCCAGGCTATCTCCACCCAGGCAAGGTGACGGCAGCAAATAATGTTTCTGTTGAACATGACTGTCATGCACAGTCCCTGGGTGAAAGGTCAAAAGGAACCCGGCCTGCATGGCTCATTGGTTGAGCATCAACCTATGAACCAGGAGATCACAGGCACATGCCAGGGTTGTGGGCTCGATCCTCAGTAGGGGCGTGCAGGAGGCAGCCGATCAAGAATTCCCTCTCATCATTGAGGCTTCTTTCTCTCCCTCTCCCTTCCTCTCTGAAATCAATAAAAATATATTTTTTTAAAAAAAGAAAGGCTAAAAGGAGAGAGTCTGGTTCTTCTGATTAACCTGAATTCCTGGGTACACACTGGGTTTGCTTAATCTCCCTGTCCTTGGTTGTGCCCGAATCCCAATTTATTTTACAGTTTTAATGAGCAGGGTTGCAGGTTTTCTGACTCTTTAACTCAGCCATTTGTAGAAAAAAATTCATGCGGATCCTACAACATTGCTGTCTAATTATCTCAAAGCAGAGAAAGAGAGAGGGGGAACTCTCTGACCTGCCGAAGCCAGAGTGAGACCACTATGATGATGAGACAATGATGGCTCAAGACGCCTCTCCCCTCCAGTGGGGAAGAAAGCGGATGGTCATTTGGCCAAACAGGACCCATGCTCTTGGGGAAAGACCCTGACTCCAGTGGCCTAGAGCTTGCGGGGAAGAGAGAGCGTGCTGCCGGGTGGGGTGGGCAGGTATAGGCGTATACCGTGGGGATGAGTAGCAGGAGGCCGGGCCGTGGTCCTGAGGCCGACTGACCCAAAATGAAGCCAACAGATCAAAACAGCAACATCAGGGACCAGGGACACTTAGCACTGACGATGTGCCAAGTGCCCGTCCAGCCTCTTTACACGAAGCCCTTCATTTAATTCTCACAAGAAGCATCCCACACTGACTGACTCCCTCCTGCAATTCTTAAGTGCGTCTGTTGCAAACGGGCCACTTCAATACCCCGTTCCTTAGAGCTCCTTTATATATATGTATATATACATATCCTATATAATAAAAGGCTAATATGCAAATCAACCGAACAGCAGAATGACCGGTTGCTATGATGCGCACTGACCACCAGGGGGCAGACACTCAACACAGGAGCTGCCCCCTGGTGGTCAGTGTGTTCCCACAAGGGGAGCGCTGCTCAGCCAGAAGCCCTGAGCCGGGCTCACAGCTGGTGAGCTCAGCAGTGGTGGCAGGAGCCTCTGCCGCCTCCACAGCAACACTGAGGATGTCCAACTGACGGCTTTGGCCAGCTCCCTATGAGGAGCAGGCCTAAGCCGTCAATTGACAGGGAGTGGGCCAAAGCCATCAGTCAGACATCCCCCAAGGACTCCTGGACTGCAAGAGGGAGCAGGCCGGCTAAGGGACCCCCCCCCCCAGGGCACGAATTTCACGCACCGGGCCTCTAGTACATATACACTGAGTGGCCAGATTATTATGACTACCTGACATTTGTAGGCAAATTAGCTATAATTTCGCGCTGAAGTTGCTAGAGGGCCAGACCATTATAAATAGGGAAGCAGGTTGTTTACCATGACAGAAGTGATTTTTTTCTGAAGATATGGGTAAACAACGCGATTTAACAGCCTTTGAACGTGGGATATATATACGTGTGTGTGTATATAGGGGTCCCAGATTGGAGATGGTGCAGGCTGGGCTGAGGGACACCCCCACCCCCTGCAGCCAGTGGACGAATTCCGTGCACCAGGCCTCTAATGTGCATGTATGTATGTATGTGTGTGTGTGTGTACATATGTATATGTGTGTGTATATATGTATATGTGTGTGTGTATATATACACATATACATATACACATACATACACACACACCCACATACACACACACATATTTTTTATTTCTAAGAGGAAGGAAAAGAGAGAGAAAATCATTGATCGGCTGCCTCCTACACGCCCCCTACTGGGGATCAAGCCCACATCCCGAGCATGTGCCCTGA